GCCAGGCCGCGTGCAAGCCGCCCGTAGGCCGCATGCAGGTCGCGCCAGGCCGCGTCAGGCCGGCCAGACCGGTGCCCGGGTGGGACACCAATTTGGTAAGTTGTTGCCTGGGTGTTTGCCTAGTTGTCACGAGGTGCCACATGTCGCAATTTCACTGGAGGGCCAAATCTGCCTCATCAAAAACCGTTCTGATTAACAATCGGGATAATTAGTCTAACCAATACACCCAATTATATACTGATCAATATAATTATTTATATAGATAATAAATTAAAATTTTATTTTTCATAATACAATCTTAATAGATCGAGTCTTTTTTTTTAATTAAAGTTGTCCTATATATATATATATTATCTATCAAACTTACCCTTTTAGACATAAAATATAATAAAAAATAAAAACTAGGAAACATTTAGACAAATGTATGTTCAGGTTTGAATTAGTTCAAAACAAGTAAGAACCGGACTGACCCAATTATTATTAATCTTCATAAAATCCCAGAACCAGAATCAGTATAAATATATAATTGGTTGGTTCGGTCCAATCTAGAACTGACGCATTGAGAGCCCTACTTTTACAAAACCCTAAAACGCAAAAGGCATGAAGCAATATTGTCTCATCAAGTGTTCTATAAGCATTGTTTTTTACTTTCTTTTTATGAATTCTACTGTTTTAAAACTGGTAATTGATAAATACAATAGCTTGGATTTACCAGTCGATTGGTTTTGGTATAATGTATACCCATGCATCTATGATTTGCCTCATCTAGTCTCAAATCTCAATGAGCGGACTTGCATTGGAATGCATTCCAATCTAGATTTTATTGTTTAACACAAATAACTAAACCAGGGAAATTAAAACTGGATATATACATCTAGGCCGGCTGCTAGGCGCTTCTGTGAATTGTCATAGAATTGAATCTGCTTGTTGGGGAGCCTGCAGGTGAGCCCAACCAGTGTTGAATTAGGAAACCCATCTTAAATAATGTGAAAACTACTGGACCAGATCCGAATTAAAAAGTTCTGAGAGGGTATCGATTCAGAAATTGAAAATACATCCCTAACACAAAACAGGAAAAGAAAAAGAGAAAAAGCGGTAGAACCAGCATTTTCTTGATTCCATTAACTATTACTACACTAGTTTTTTTTTTTCCTGTATGATCTCTTCCTTCAGTCTGAAGTCACTAAGAAAAGGCCTGAGATCAAGGGTGATCATGTGACTAACCCATCACTTCCCTTTAACAATTGACTCTTCAGTACTGTGTAATTAAGTGATATAAGTTTAATTATTTGATTGATCAAACAAGAAAAAAATTGAAATTAATCAGTAAAAATGTTTGAAATGCAAGTCAAATTTAGGTGATTATAGAGTTAAGAATTGAGAACAATAAACAATAGATTAGATCCTCGACCGTCGGGGTGGGTGGTGTCGATTTGATCCCGATTTGCCAAACAAAATTAAGATTACAATTAGTCTACTAGAAAAAGAGTAAAATTAATTTTTTCATGTTACACCATTAAATAAAATAATCGGGTAATCTTTTGCGGTGTGAGTCAAGTGGACATGCACGAATGCTCTGCTGCACTTTAGAGCCACTAAAAGTTGCCACGTAATCACAGATTCTTAGATTATAACGTGCCGCCGACATATTTTCAAAAGTAACGCACATGCAGATGCAGTTATGCACAATGCACTTACGCTCAGAGAGAGAGAGAGGG